CACAAAGTGTGAGATCATGACCTGAGCCGAAGTCGGACGCTCAACCAACTGAGCCACCCAGGTGCCCCCTTTGGTACCTTTTAATGGGGGCTTCCTATGGCCCTCCCAACCTTAGGTCATGCTCTGTTAAAACCTTTGTTTTAGCTCCAGCAAGGTCCATTTTAGTCATCCCATTTCTTTTCTTCTTTTAAAAGTGTATTATTTATTTTGAGAAAGAGAGAGAGACAGCAGAAGCAGGGGAGAGGCAGAGGGGGAGGGAGAGGGAGAATCCCAAGCAGGCTCTGCACTGTCAGCATGGAATCTGATGTGGGGCTTGAACTCATGAACCATGAGATCATGACCTGAGCTGAAACCAAGAGTTGGATGCTTAACCAGTTGAGCCACCCAGGCGCCCCAGTTTTAGTCATCCTATGTCCCATTTCTTAATAACCATCTAAAGATTTCCACCCTGCTGGAACCAACCCCGTGACTGCCCCTTTCTGTTCTCTTGGTTTCATTTCTTCAACATTTGCTTTATTCATCTTATTTCTTAATGACCTTTTAAAACTTTCCACCTTGTTGAGCAGAATCCCTTGACTCCCCTTGGCCTTTTCCCATTCTTTTGTTAATTAACCTAATATTTTTTATTAGTGCCTGTAAGACCCGGGAGGGGAAGCTGAGGCAGCAAATTTTTTAAGGCTTCCAGAGCTTTTTTTTTTTTTTTTTTTTTTTTTTTGGTTTTGCAGCAACAAAGTCATATGGAATGCCCACATGAAAGGAGCCCTCTTGGGGTGCCTGAGTGGCTCAATTGGTTAAGCATCCAACTTAGGCTCAGGTCATGATCTCGCGGTTCGTGGGTTCAAGCCCCACGTCGGGCTCTATGCTGAATGGCTGGGAGCCTGGAGCCTGCTTCAGGTTCTGTGTCTCCCTCTCTCTATGCCCCTCCCCTGCTCATGCTCTGTATCTCTTTTTCTCAAAAGTGAATAAACATTAAAAAAAAATTTTTTTTAAAAGAAAGAGACCCTCTTAATTACAGCATTTACCATGACTTGGGGAGTGGGCTGTGGGTTCTGTATCTACCCAAACATGTTCTTCCACTCTGCAGTGCTCAAAACCATATAGCTCCTAAATAAATTACTCTTTAATCCACTATGGTAAGGGGCCTTCAGGAAGCCCATGATACCAATCTACAAAATGCAACTCCTTCACAATAAACCCCTGGTTTCTATAGTGTCTCAGTTTTGCCCTTTCTTCACCTTCGGCCAGTGGCCAAACCTCAGACGCACTGAAATCTGAGCAATTCATTTACCTTGATGGCTTTTGGTTCCAGTGGAGACAATAATTTCTATTTTGTGAATGTCATGGTGTCAGTTCATCCATTAGTTTCATCCATTCATTCATTCATTCGTTCATTCAAGAAACACTTCCGGAGCAGCTTGCCTTCTAGCACTGGGTAAGAGGAGCTGGAGACCAGGTTGAAGACCAAAAACAAAAAGGAAGTGAACGTGCTCTCCAAACTCTAAGTTGCTAACTAAACATAAACTGCAGTGTTATTATCCCTTCTGGAATATGTGCATCTTAAAGGACCATGGCTGGAAGACAGCCAAACATAACACGAAAGGATAAATTCTTAATGGTGGAATTCTAGGGGTGTGTGTGTGTGTGTGTGTGTGTGTGTGTGTGCGCACACACACGCTTATGGTAGAGAATGCTTAATAGCACATTAGTAAATGCAGAAGGAAATAGGAAGGAGGAAGAGTTTTTTACTTACGGAAAATTTCCATTAAATGCCTCTCATGGTAGGATGATGTGCCAGGCTTGTTCTACAAGTGGGAGCAGAGAGAAAGGGCTCAACTTTGTGGAGACCCAACAATGAGCTTGTATCATTGTTTGCTACACAATCATTAGGAGAAGCAGGGTTTCTGGTCTCTGATGAACTTCCCTTGCTTATAAATGCTATCTTTACTGACTGTCTGAACTTCAGAGCTGATAATGAATATATTTTAACTTTCCACAAAGGGGAAGAGGTTGCCCCTTTATTGAAAACATTCATTCTCCTGAGAAGCCGCAACATCACAGATTATACTTTCTAAGATCAGAGGGCTTGATGAAACCCTGGGCTGGATTTTAGTCATTCCATTCTGGGAGAGATGTCTTTGAAAGTGAAAAAGCTCTGGTGAAAGCTCCTTTTTCTTGCCCATCACACCTGGTGTCTGAGTATAAGTCTTCAAATACCAATTCATTCACAAGTGCTAAATATCATCTGTTTCTGGCTGTATATTAGCTCCTGAGATCTCACATTTATTACATTTAGCCTCACTCTGAGCCCTCTTACTTCTGTACCTGGTAGCTGAGAGTGTCTGGGACAGATGGCACATGCTTTCAGAATTGTCTCCATCCTGAGTCCTGCCTGGCTCTCAGTGCTGCTCCCACAACCTCCCATTCTCTTTACCAAGTGTGTGCCTTGAATGATGCTCTTCCCACATCATCCTTAAACTGAAATGTCCCCCTCCACTGTCACCTCCTCTTTGAGCTTCCCTTAATAATAGCTGCCATGATATGAGGCACTATACTTAGTGCTCAGAGCACATCTCCAATCTTCATAACAGCTCTGAAGGAGGTGGAAACTGGGGAGGAAACGGAGCCTTAGCAGGTTAAGTGGCTTGCCCAAGGTCACACACCTGGCAAGGGGCAGCCCCAGTCTCTGAGATCCTTGTGACTCTTCCTTATACTCTCAGAACTACTCTAGGGTTTTTATTTACATAAGCAACCTAGGGTTGAGTACCTATAACCCAACTCTGGTGTGTATCTTCCTAGAGACAGAAAGAAATATCCTATCATTCAAAACGATTCATTCATTCATTCAGTCAGTCAGTCAGCAAATATTTGTGAAGCGTCTCCATATGCCAGCACTACTCTAGACACTAGGAATACAGCTGTGAAAAAAATAGGCAGACCTCTGCTCTCCAGGAGCTAATGGCTCCTTGGGGTAAATAGAATCAGTTAATCAATCAAAATTGTCAGGTGAAGATACATACTGTGGGGAAAAATGAAGCAGGTAAGAGGATGGAGAATCCTCTGGAGAGATTGGGGAATTGAGTTTTCAGTTCATATAGAATGGTCAGAGGAGGCCATAGTGTTAAGGTAACATTTGGACACAAAGCTGAGAGAAATGACAGCATGAGTCATGTGGGTATTTGGGAGGAAAGAATTTCAAGCAGAGGGAGAAGCAGGTGCAAATGTCTTGAGGCAGATTATTTGCTTGGTCTATTTGAGAATAACAAGAAGGTCAGCTGATCAGAGAGAGTGAGGGGACAGTGATTGTGGAAGATATTTGCGAGGTTGCAGGGGGAAAGATTGACTTGGGCCTGATCAGGTATTATCATAAGATTCTTTCACTTTGAGTGAGGGAGGGAGCCATTGGGGGATTTTGAGAAGAGGTGTGGCATGATCTGACTTATGTTTTAAAAGGTCATTCTGGATGCTACTTATGAGAAACACAAAAGGAGGAAAGACAGAGACAAGTGGGCAGTTACAAGGCCACTGTGCTCATCCAGGTGGCTTGGACAGGGTTGTTACTGTGCAGATGGAGAGCAGTGCTCAGATTCTGGATGTGCTCTGAGGAATGAGCTGACAGGACATACTGATGAGGTTCGAGAGAAAGAGATAAGCCAAGCATGAGTCACGCTGGCCATTTCCTGAGAATATAAATTCCCTCTATTAGAATATAAACTCCACGTGGGCAGAGGTCTTCATCTGTTGTATTCAGTTCCAAGTGCCCAACACATAGAAGGTGCTCAATAATTTTTAAAGAAATGAATATAGAGAAACTGACTTGGCAGTGGGACTTGAGAGTTTATATGTAAAATGTCATCTGCAAACACATTCTTCCAGTGCACAGCCTGTCTTTTCATTCTCTTAAGAGTATCTTTTGAAAACAGTGTTTTTAATTGTGTTAATGTCCAATTCATCACTTTTATTTATTTATTTTTTTTTCAACGTTTATTTATTTTTGGGACAGAGAGAGACAGAGCATGAATGGGGGAGGAGCAGAGAGAGAGGAGACACAGAATCAGAAACAGGCTCCAGGCTCTGAGCCATCAGCCCAGAGCCTGATGCGGGGCTCGAACTCACGGACTGCGAGATCGTGACCTGGCTGAAGTCGGACGCTTAACCGACTGCGCCACCCAGGCGCCCCAAATTCATCACTTTTAAAATGGATCAAGCTTTTGGTGTCATAGCTAAGAAGTCTTAGCTATAAATCCAAGGTCACCGATTTTTTTTCCTGTTTTCTTCTAGAATTTTAATATTTTTATGTTTCATATTTAGGGTTGTGATTTTTAGGAGTTAATTTTTCATATGACATTTTCATATGGGTTATGGAAGTTCTTTTTTTTTATGGATATTCACTTGTTCCAGACCTGTTTGTTGACCTGAGTTAGTTTTGAGGAAAAAGCAGGATGTCACCAGCTGGACAAGTGAAGGGGGGGCAGGCAGAGGAAGCAGCAGGTGGAAAATCATGGTGGTGAGAATTACTAGCAAAACTGATCATGAGAGTGTACAAGTTCTCTGGTTGACTGGAGCATAACATGTGAATGGAGAATGATGGGATTTCAGGCTTTAAAGGGAGGCAAGGTATGCACCATGGAAAACTTGGTACACCTTAGTATTTTCCTGGAGTGTTAAGCTGGGAGTATTCTTGGAGATCACAAATTAAATTTCCTCCCCATTTTACACATGGACAAATGAAAACCCAAAAAAGGGGTATCACTTAATTTTAGAGTTTGATTACTACTCTGACTTTACATGTTCTACTAACCAGAATTATCTTATATAAAAGGAAAAGATTAAACAACAACAAAGGAGAAGCCATGGTCTTAAAGAAAAGATGAATCATGTTCTATTTGCATGCAGGACTGATCCCTACTGAGAGGGTGCTGATTAATAGATCGATGCCATGTTGGAAAGGAACCCTAATGGCACAGTGCCCTGTCTGAACTGATATTTTTATCTGTGCCCAGGGTGAAGCTGGTAAAGGAACTCTCATAAAATGTGTGAAGGACCAGAGAAGTTGGGAAGAGAGAGAATATGTTGAATGAGAGGGTCAGGATCCTAGAAGATGCCAGAAGCTTGGAATTCTGGAACAAATATAAGGAGAAGATGTTTTAAAAGCTAAAGTTATATCCTTGGATTCACAAAGCAGCTGAACAAACAGAGTCAGGGAATCAAGGCTGCACAAGTCACAATGAGAACCCTATAGGGGAAGCGTGTCTAAATGGATAAAAGCTCATACAAGAAACAATGACACAATCTTGAGCTGTATTGGGAGAAGATGAAGGTCCTAATCTGCTATCCTGCTTGGATCACACAATGCTTGAAAAGCATTCAGTTTTAGAGGGGATCACGATTTAAGAAAGTCATAGTTACCAAATATAGACTCTGGAGCTAGACTGTCCTGGTTCATGTTCTGGCCCAGTCTCCTGCTGGCTGTGCAACTTTGGGCAAAGTACTTAACCTCTCTGTACGTTGGTTGCTTCATCTGTAATGACAACGCCATGACTTGCTATAAAGTAAAAATGAGTTAATGTATAAAGTGCTTAGTATATGCTCTGTAGGAATTAGCTATAATTAGTATTTGGTTACTATTTACTGAACACTTCGTCATGCTGGACTCCACGATAAAAATTCTTTGTACAATATTTCATTTGATCTTCATAACAATATTGCATGATAGGCAGTTTCTCCATATACTATATAGATGAGGATGTTGAAGTCCAAATGGTTACGCATGTAGCCAGTTCACAGATACTCTTGCTGTGACATCCCTAGAACTGAACTCCAGGTCTGCCTGGTTCCCAAGCTGATAGTTACCACTGCTATTGCACTGTCCCCTGGTGCTGATTCCAAGAAGAATGTCTAGGATGGTGAAGGGCTCAGAGCCATGTCATGAGGTTTGACTGGAGGAGTTGGGGAGGAGGTGTTGGTGACTAATTCTGGAGAATAGATGCCATATGTAAAAGGAATCAAACTTGTTTGGGGGTAAAAATAGTCTTTATCTACTGGAGACAAATTTAGATCAATCTAACAATCTTATTCTCTAGAGATGGAATGGGCGTCTTACTACACTAATGAGTTCCCCATCACTGGAGGTGTTCAAGAAAACACAGGTAGCATTCAAGTACGAGATAGGTGGTTGGAATTGATGTCTTTTGAAGCTACTTATAATGCAGCGATTGTCTGTTCCCATCTCTGTACCCTGGTATCTTTGTTTCCAAAGTAATTTTAACGATATTTATATCTTCCCAATTCTAAAGGGCATTGTGAGGGTTAAGAAAAAAGTGCTCATTAAGCACGCCAAGATCCAGAGAAGAAATGCACTATTTTAAGATAAACTATTATTATAACACTATATGTAATTGCCAAGTGGATAATGGAACCAAGAATCTGCTAAACTCATGTACATAACAAACTGTGATAATTTCTTAGAACCAAATGTGTTTATTGCATGTGCCCAAGTATTGCAGTTGATAATTGCTATTATATCCTATGCTTTAGTGCATAACAAATTCTCATAAATTATTTGGAGGTTTCATGAACAAAATACAACTTAAATAAAAGCAATCTTGCTATGCATTTGAAACCTCCCCCTAGAATTTCCTAACATATAAAAGCTAAAATTCCTAGTGATGAGGTTTTTTACTCAATTAGGAGATCCAGAAAGGGGACCAAGTTGTGGTCTCCTGGGGAATGGGTGATAGATACTCCTTTTTGTCATTCCAAATTGGAAGAGTGGACCATGGCCCCTTGTCCATTTCCAGTTTGCTTCTCTAGCCAATGACGTTGGCATGTTTTTGTCCAGTTGGCCAATGAGACTTAATTGCCTGCTAATTTTGTACTGGATTGAATTAATTTTGAGACCAAATTAATTAAAACAGATGAAGCTCCCTTCATCTATTATTCATGAGCTTGTTAGAACAGGAGGGAGCACATTAGCTACATTAAGGATATTACATTGTTTTAATGAACTTCTTTTTGGTACCCATTAATGGGACTTTTGAGGAGCCCAATGTGCTTTCCCCAATCTGTGGCTCTGAAGTTGCTTTGGTTTGCTCTGGTAAATAACACATTTTTGTAGGAATGACTGCTTTCAAATCCTCACGGACTTTAGAAGGTGAGGGGTAGATGTGTGTGTTGGGGGGGCGGTAGAGGGCAGGGGACAGAAGTACATACCAAAGGAAATACCCTTGCTGCAAATGAAACTTTTGGTTGTGCAGTTTCCACGTGCACTAGGAAAACGAATAAACCATATGCACAGATTGACAAGATAGTGGCCAAGGAGGGCAACAAGAAATAAATGATATTAGTAAGAGTGAAAAGTTTTGGTTTGGTTTGTTAAATTTACCAGTTTAAGGTTTCTGCAAGCATGATCTTCGATTAACATGCAGTCGAGGCTGACAGGTAAGAACTTGATGTATTTTTAATTTTTTGAGGAACCTCCACACTGTTTTCCAGAGTGGCTGTACCAGTTTGCATCCCCACCAACGGTGCAAGAGGGTTCCTGTTTCTCCACATCCTCTCCAGCATCTATAGTCTCCTGATTTGTTCATTTTAGCTACTCTGACTGGCATGAGGTGGTATCTGAGTGTGGTTTTGATTTGTATTTCCCTGATGATGAGTGACGTTGAGCATCTTTCATGTGCCTGTTGGCCATCTGGATGTCTTCTTTAGAGAAGTGTCTATTCATGTTTTCTGCCCATTTCTTCACTGGATTATTTGTTTTTCGGGTGTGGAGTTTGGTGAGTTCTTTATAGATCTTGGATGCTAGCCCTTTGAGTGTTATGCTAAGTAAAATAAGTCATACAGAGAAAGACAGATACCATATGTTTTCACTCTTACGTGGATCCTGGGAAACTTAGCAGAAGACCATGGGGGAGGGGAAGGAAAAAAAAAAAAAAGAGAGGGAGGGAGCCAAACCATAAGAGACTCTTAAAAACTGAGGATAAACTGAGGGTTGATGGGGGGGTGGGGGAGGGGAGGGGAAAGTGGGTGATGGGCATTGAGGAGGGCACCTGTTGGGATGAGCACTGGGTGTTGCATGGAAACCAATTTGACAATAAATTTCATATTAAAAAAAGTATAAGGCCCTCAGGTAAATATGAAAAAAAAAAATAAAGTGGCCAACATCTAATTTGGGGACTTAAAAAAAAAAAGAACTTGATGACGGCTATGTTCTGATGATTGGTGTGGTCCATTCTGACTGCCAGAATGTTGCTTCTAGGGGGTAGGTTATACCTATTTACAAATTCATGCACAGGTGGTCTTCTTAAAGCCTTATTTTAATGGAAAAAAAGACCTATTGGGAATGACTGAATGCAGTGGATTGTGGGATTCATATTTGTAGGCTTCTCTGCCAGACTCTAAATACTGTCCCATTAAGCTTCCCTTGTTACTCTTCATTGAGGATGTAGCAAAGAACTTTTTACAGGGAATTGTTGCCTGTCCTGGGAGACAACCACATAGCCCGGTTGCTAAGTCTGTAATTAGAGTCATGATCCCTTCTAGCTAACTGCAGAGGCACCAGTCAACCTTGGGCTGGTTCCCAGAAAACCTTTTTAGAGTGCAGTACCTGTCAGGCACTGGGCCAGGCACAAAGTTGAGCATGACCAGATTCCTTTCCTTGGGAAGATTGTGATCTCATCAAAGGATCTTTCTGAGAGGAGAGAAGATAGGGAGAATGGCCCGGCACTGACACAGGATGGAAGCTGCATCCCGTTGCTGGCCAGAAACCACAGAAGGGTGATTGTATAGGTTCTGCTGAAGGGCCCTAATTTTAGATATTCTGTTCATTTGTCAGGCATAATTACTGACTTGTACTTTAGAAAATATCCACACAGTGAAAGGAATGGGAACCAACACTTACTGAACATCTACTATGTGTCAAACATACTTGACACTTTATGCATCTTATCTCATTTCATCCTTGTAACTGCCATGTGAGGAGCCAGTTCCATTTTCCCTACAGCTCTTGTAGCACACAAGCAAACCAGGGTGCAGTAAGGGGAAGCAACATGGCTAAGATGGCTTGTCTGCCTTTTCCATGTTGGTTTGGAATTCCGAAGTTCGTTGCAGCAGAAAGGAATGGATGATGTCAAAGTAAAATGGGGCAAGGATGTGGGAAGGAGAAAAGGGAAAATGAAGAGGAGTGTTGATATGTGTCTTTGGTGGAGGTGGCAAAATGGTGCTCTAGATTTTGAAATGGGAGTGATATTTCTGTCCCACTCCTGGGGAGTAAGAGAGCCTTTTGGGAAAGGAAGTGCCTAATTGGCAATGGTGTGGGCAGTTAGGAATGAGAGGGAGAACTGAATAAGATGAGAACATGTAGAATGATTTTGAAGGTACACCCATTTGTTAGACAGATTTGGTTACTAAGCAAGAACCTGAGAGGAGGGGGAAGGGATGGGGAGAAGGGGCAGAGGAGGAGAGGGAAGGCGGCAAGGAGAACGGAATCCTTAGTAAGCATGGGATTAGCATCCCAAAGTGTTGTAAAGCTTGGCTGCTGTTTGTCCTTGGACCTTAGGAGGATCTTGACGATACCTTGAGGAAAGGTTTTCATACTGTTCTCTGCATGTTTAGAAAAAAAAATGATTCCTTGTGGGATGATGATAATCATCATCATCATCATCATCATCATCATCTCCTTTTTATGGATGTTGGAGCCAAGGCTCAGTGATAACACAGAGAGCACATGACTCTAGACTCTTACTGTTACCACTGGACATTACTGTCTTCCTCTGGGACCTGTCCATTCTCCTTATTCTGATTGGCCTATGTACCCATTACTCCTGTCAAACCAATAGATTATAGTGATTGGAAAGCCCCAAAAGGAGCATCTTCTTTCCTTCTTCCTCCCTCCCTCCTTCCCTTTCCTTCCTTCCTTCCTTCCTTCCTTCCTTCCTTCCTTCCTTCCTTCC